TATCATCATCATGTATCATCATCATGTATCATCATGTGATTAGTCTGCAGTGTATTTTCTGTGACAAGAAGTTTAAGGACAGACAGACACTTAAAGATCACATGAGGAAAAAACAACACAAGAAGATCAACCCAAAAAACAAAGACTATGACAGATTCTACATAATAAACTACTTGGTAAGAAGTAAAGAGGATGGATGGATGGGAAATGAAATATGGGAAGTGAAGATGAAACAGATGGACTACTACCTTAAACAATATCAGTATACCCAGAAATTCAATTTATAATAAATTATGTAGGAAACCTGTAATATAATAACAGTGAGAATGGATAGGTGGGAATTGAAAATATGAGAAATAAAGATTGAACAGACAGACTAATACAGGTAGGAAGAAATGGATAGGAAAACATCATAAAAGATAAAGAAACAGAAAATGTAACTTTATATAAATCTACAATTAAGCTTTCACTGTTGTATCACAGCGTGGGACAATCACAATAGAGCTAGGCTCCAAACTAAGTGAAAGCCCAAAGATTGAATTAGAATTTAGAAGTTGATTTTTGAGGAGGGAGGAAAACCGGAGAACCCGAAGAAAAACCATCGAAGCACAGGAGAGAACCAACAAACAACTCTGCTCACATACTACATCAAGATCGGCAGCACTCGAATGCAGGCTGCATTAGTGAGAGGCAGCGCATTAAGCAGCGCACGCCACCAGTGCTTCCTTAGACTACTAGTGGAAGGATAGTAGTGAATAAGCTGTTTATTAGCCCTGCAGCTGTCAAGGAGTAGCAGTAGGAAAAGAATCTCCTTATTCATGTTATCTTTTTCTCATGGATTTTTTTCTGCAGGAATTAGGTAAAACATGGGAAGAAATCCAAAAAGAAGAAGATGAAGAAGAACCAGAGGATCAAACAAATGAAAATGAGTAAGAAAACAAATAGATTTAGTATTATTTTTATCTTTATTAACCTTTTTACCTTGGACGTACTGTTTTCCCATTGCTGACCACCTGTCATTCTCTAGAGTATCATTTCTTTGTTTAACAGTTGTGCATGAGAAGACATATGAATATGGATACAACTCAAGCAAATAATCTTATTCTCAAGAGAATGACATGTGCTCTGAAATGGGAAAACATTATATCCTAGGTAAACCTAGGTAAACCAGTCTATTGGTCTTCTATATCGTAACCTCTCAAAAAAATTTTTCTTTGATTTTCCAGGAATTGGAGTGATTGGACTGAACCACCTGAACCTACCGTGTGTTTGTTTTGTCACTTCACGTCCACCGCCATCACAGATCTGTTACAACACATGAAGGTTTCTCAATCAATTTTTTGTTGAAGAGCTGGAAGTAGTCTCAGTCTCCTGATTTCTTGTTGAATCTTTTTTTATAGGATGTTCATCAGTTTGACTTGATGGAGCTGAAGAATTCTTTAGGTAGGCATTATTCCAGTGCCATACTCTTGACATCCTTAACATCTTATAGGCCAATCTTTGTTTACGTTTTTCCTCATTAGCATAAAATAAATTTCAAGCTACATACAAACCAACTCCAGAAATCGAAAGAGAATGTCTTATTTAGTAACTACTGAAAATTCGAGAGTAATACGTTCAATATTTTGGAAGTAAAATGTTTTTGAAAGCGGTATGATTTACAAAGAAATGTATGGTTGTGTTGGCAAGATTTTTTTTATGCTAATGAGGAAAAAACGTAAACAAAGATTGGCCTATTGATAACCCAAAACAGCCTCTGGGCTGATCTAAGTCACGGCAGGGCTGACTCACAGATCAAATTGGAATTTAGAATGTTAGGTTTTGCTGAGGGAGGGAAACAGGAAAATGGATTGAGATACCTAAAAACTCTACTCACATGTGATGTGTCAGTCTGGGGATCTAAGTCAAGACCCCATGGGTGATAAGCAAGACAGTGCACCATCTCTGTTACCCCTCGATTGCCACATCTTGTACCATTTTAATTGACAGATTTTGGTCTCTTTCCTAAAGGGCTCGATTTTTATGGTCAAGTCAAGATTGTGAACTTCATTAGAAAGCGTGTAAGTAGGCAGGTCCTGTTGTCATTGAAGTATATTTATTAATAACAAAGGTACTGAGAAACCTTAAATTTTGACCATATCAACTTGTAACTTGTCTTTCATGCAGGTTTTGAATCATCTTGACATATATTTGTTTTCTTTTAATTTCTGACTAAGTTTTCACATTTCTTGCGTGTACGAAATTCTGCAACAAAACCTAGGGTGTATAAGCTGCTTATAACTATTCTTATGCTTGTTTCCTGGTCCATCTTCAGGTGTTTGATGTAACCTGTATCTACTGTCAAGAGAAGTGTCAGTCAAGTGATGCCTTACTGGACCACCAAACCAGCAAACAGCACTTTAAACTACCAGAGGACAAAACTGTATGGGATCAACCACAGTAAGTCTATCATAAGGCTATACCACACTCACACTTGTTATTTCACTGACAAACCTGTATAGCAGCTGGGGAGGATAGGGGTCTGATGAGGAGAGGAAATGGTGTGTGGCATGTATATTCATGTCACACCTTGTCATGTCACCTAATATTCTAAATTACAGGGTGTAGGGGAAGAGAAGATAAGGAAGGGAGGAAGGGTGATTCAGGATGAACAAAAGGAAAGGAAAGGGAAAGCAGCTTTCCTTACGAGAATAAAAAGAGCGCCTGACCCCTTGTCCTTCCCCCTGGATCACCATATTATTGCTGTGCTGTTAACTTTTTGTCCCCCTCCTCTTTCTCTCTATCTCCAAAGATACTATTTCTCAACCTACGAGAATGACGGGCTCCTGTGCTGCTTGGAGGATGACRATGAAGAGGATGACGATGAAGAGGATGACGAAGACGAAAATAAGAACCAAACCAAGGAGTTAAATGAAAACCAGATCCCCCGGGAAGAAAAAGTTGATAAGAATGGAAACGCAGAAGAAGCAAGTAAAGAAAGTTAAACAGAGTTTAAAAAGGAAAAGAAAAACAAGAGAAAAAAAGAGAGAAAAAGAGAAAAACTATATGAGTTAATATATGTAAAGACAAAATCCTGATAAGAGGCAGCATCATAACTTTACAAAAATTGTTAGAGTGAAGTCATTAAACCTGTGAAATAGATATTAGACTAATAGGTCGCTATCAATAGACGTCACTTCCGGTAATAGCTGCATTTTTAATGGCTTGTAGAATCTTGGAGGTTGTTTTGACCTCTTGTTTTCTGGTTTCATTTCGTAGAAATAGTCAAATACAATAGTTTGAGGACTTATTTTAACATGTTTTGACTTAACAACCGCTAGTTGCCCCTCAGTCAACCACTTGTTTGCCTCCCAGTCAACTCCAAAAAGTCATGTGATTGATACTAAGCAATACACTTTAGAAGACCCTAATTCCATTGTTTTCTTTTGTGTCTATTTGACTATTACACGTTGACTAGTATTTATTATTTCACGGGTTAAATGCCTTCACTCCAAGCGTTTTGTTATTAAAATGATTGCACAGAGTTTTAATTTTTAAAGTGGTTTTGTAAAATCAAAACATTTTTTTCTGAATCACTGGACACAAGTAGTTTCAGTTCTATTCATAGAATTATGTAAGAATATAATTCCCTATTTTAATAAAACAAAATATTTATCTTTATACAATGAGAAAACTCTTCTATGTACACATTATGTTTGTAAAAAGATGATAAGCATACTCAGACCACTTGTTTCCTAAAATAGACAATCTAGTAGTCGATTGAAGCCGAATTTGATTGACACTGGGATATATCATGTGACCAAGTGCTTGTCAATCTCTCGTCACATGAACCTAACATATATTCACTCAGTTCAATCACATGATTGGTTCCTTGAGAATCTCCAGTATGTCACGTGGCTACTAACAGTGATATTCTATTGGCTTGTGATATGACAGCATTCGATTGGTGCTTACTGATTCGTCAGAGATCCTTTCGCTAGTCTCAGTCTCTTCTTCAGGATTTGAGATGGGTGGTGGCTTCTGAGCTTCAGCGGCAATTTCAGATGCAACAGCCTCTGACCAGCTGCCTTGTGCTGACTTGAGGGTACTTGTCCAGGTTTCCTGTTTGGAAGAAAAGACAAGAAGTAATTAATTCTCACCATAGTCTTCTCTCTTTGCTTTGGGCTACCTGTGACTGATGATGTTCAAAATCATCTCTAAGATAGCTGGTTGAGCTACTAAAAATTATATCAATCTGTGTACTGATGCAAGACACCCATCCCATATTGTCCTACCTTAAGGTTCTGCGAAGGAGCTTGGAGTGTATACAAGCCGATGGTCTGTTTGAAGCGGCTGTAGTGGATGATGATGAAGGTATTTTTCATGGTATTGCCGGCATGTGTTGCTTCAGCATCAATGATTATAAACCGATCTAATGGTATCGGCTGTCAAGGGGTAAATAAACAGTCAATCAAACGGTGTACATTATAATGATAAAAATCTGGGATCGCAGTGGTGAGAAATATTTGGAACCCCTTTCTTTCATCGTGGACATTTTGAACAAGGAGCATTCTGGTCTACCTTGGGTACAAACAATACATTATATAAATACATGCCCTTGCACATGGACTCTCACCTGTTTATACACTGTATACTGTCCTGTAGTTGTAACCTTTCGTACCACAGGAGGGGTGGGTGGTGGGCTATCTGACGTCATCCCTGCAAGGCTAAGTTTCTGTTGAGAAAAAGGGAAAACATCTCTTCAAAATACAGACAAAATAAGTTGTAAGTTAGCTATTTCTGCAGCTTGTTTTACACTACGAGGGACGTATGAAAATATCATAGCATCAACCCTTTCCTCTGAGGAAGACCCAGAGCAGACATCTATTTAACCTAAGAATATTTTTCTAACGGGCCATTTTCTTTTATATTGAAATAATAAAATAATGAATGTTTCAAACCTTAAGCCATTCCTCAAGGTAACTGAATAAGAGACTGAGCTTGACTATATACCGTGTTAATGTGAATGGGTTATCTTACCTTGTTAATTTTCTGCTGGTATTTACGATATCTCGTCAGAAGAAGCATATCATCAAACAGGAAGGCGTAAATATCTTGTTTGGTGTTTTCTGGAAGAAAGAAAATTGAAATTGAAAACCTTTTAATATGTTGCTTTGAGAGGAAGTTCAACTGAGTTGCTAAATAATGACAGATTGGCTTACCTAACAGGACTAGGGGACCCTCATATAGTAACTGTCGTTTAGGACTTGTAAGCAGACTTTCACATGGTTGTTTGGCTAGAATACCTCGTAGAAACTGCAATAAACATAAGAACAAATATCAAATATCTGTCAAGAAGCTTGAAATATTTTTAACTTATTATTTTGATTCTTATGTCCATTTCAGATTTTCTTTTCATTTATTCATTTCCATTTTCAATCCCATTTTGCATTTTAATTATATTTCTTTCCTTTTCCCATTCTCATTTATTGTTTCTAATATTATCATTTCTCAATGCTTATTTACATTTCCAATTTTCATCTCTCAATACTCATTCCAATTTCTATTTGCCATTCTTATTTATTTCTAATTCCCTTTTCTCGATGCTCATCATTTGCTTTTCTCATTCACACCTATTTCTGATCTCTCATTTCCCATTTTTATTTCCCATTTCTATTAATTTCTAATTCTCATTTATCACTGCTCATTTCTCATTCCCCCTATTTCCCATTTCCATTTCCCAATCCCATTCCCATTTCTCATTCTTTTATGTTTTAATCCTTACTTCAGGTACATAGGTCTTGGGGTCCAGCTCAATGATTGACGGCCACACTAAGCAGTTCTGCAGTTCTTGTAACCTTTCAAAATTTGCCAAGGACTTTACTTTACCTTCTAGTTCCTCTGCAGATTAAAAAATAAAGTCATTTAATATATCATCATTATCCAGATTGATATTGCTAGAATCTGGGTCATTATTAGAATACATCAGGAATCATCATCATGTATCATCATCA